TGCTCAGTGAGTATAAAGTTTTAGTTTTACAAGATGAATAAGTTCTAGACTTACAACATAGTGCCTATCGTTAAAAATACAGTATTGTGCACTTTAAAATATGTTAAGAGGATAGATTTCATGTTAAATGTTCTTACCACACACACACACACACACACACACACACACACACACACACACAGAAAATCCACAAAAGAACAGAAGGAAATTTTTGGAGGTGATGTATATGTTCAGTGCCTTGATTATGGTGATAGTGTCACGGGTATATGCATATGTCCAAACTCACCAAAATGTATATATTAAATATGTGGAATTTTTTTGTATATCAATTATGCATAAATAAAGCTTTTTCAAAAGAAATAGAAGGAACATTGGCCATGATTTTTGTCCCTTTAATCAGGAAAATAAATTTTTCCATAAGTCAAAGCATATTTCTTTTTGTGCCTCATTGATGAAAAAGCACCTGAGAAAAGTAGTGTTAGTTTCTTTTGTGTGTGTGTATTAGCTTTTAGAGTCTATATTTTGAGGAAGGTAAGGAAAAGGGGTACTTTAAAGGTTTTGGGTTAACCAATCAACAGAACTTGCCACAGCAGGAGCTCAATAAAATTAATATCATTATTAAAGAACTTATCTAAGAATGTTTGACAAATTAATCTCCTAACACACAATCCAGCTACTAATAATGATAAGCTTCTTTCAAGTGTCTAAATAAACAAAAATAAGTGTACTGTGTATGGAACAATACTGGAATTATATAAACCAGAATGTTAATAGAAAATCAAAAGCTTAATCAGATAGCACCAACACCAGCACTCACTGAACAGAAACTGTACACAAAGTCAAAATAGGACAGCTACCAGCAGAATCAACTCTGACACAGGCCAAGATGAAATGTTAATACAGGTCGCTGACTGAACCAGGCTCTGGCTGCAGAATGAGGTACAACACTGGCCACTGTGACTTAGCTCCATAGACCATTCCTATATGGGCAAAGACAGAACCCTGACACTGGCTAAAGTCAGAAACCACAGCTTGGAAGTACTTTGGGCAAATATGCATCCCAAATTCTGTTCATATTCATCGTTAAAATCCTGGCCACAAACTATACTCTAACATTGTCCATAGATGAAATGCTAACTTTGGTCTGAGACGAAACTAGGGCACATGATAGGTAATATCCTAACATGGCAACAAACTGAATATTAAACTTAGACACTGTGCATTAACAATGGCCACAGCCTGAGGCCTAACACTGGACCAAAAATAAACTCTAACCATGAACAATAATTGAAACTTTACCTGATGAAAGACTGAACATAAATCCTGTTCAAATTCTTATTTAGCCTTTCCCCAGGCAACACAATCAGCATGAACTGTAAGCCCCGACTGAGCTATGATACTGGCCTTTACTGATTCCCAAACCTAGAAATGAAAGTGATTCCAACACTGACCAAAAACTAAAGTCAAACCTTAAGCTGAGCCCTAACCCTGGATGTGGTCTAAGGGTGGTCCACAGACTGAGCCCCAACACTGATCTTAGAACACATCCTCTCTTATATAAACTAAATCCTAATACTGGCTAAAATTTGAACCCAAATCTTGTACACTGACTTCACAATGAGTATAACTCAGGCTACACTGGACTAAAGGCAGCCTCAGAATGAGCTTTCACACTGGTCAGAAATATGCTCTGATCTTTGTCACAGAGAGAACCATGGCTATAACACTGGGGCCTAACACTGATAACAGGCTGGCCCTAAACTTGGTTCCATGGTCCTCTAACCATGGATCCACACTGACTTGTAAAGATAGCAACAGATTGACTAAGCCTTCATCTAAGTCGAAGACTGAAGCCAAACACTTTCCATATTATAAACCTGAACTCTGCCCATGACTTCAGCTGTACACTGGCTCTTCAGCTTTAACCTTGGCCTACCAATTGATCTATAAATACAGCCAGACTGATTTACCCTGGGTCTCTATTTCACAAATTCATCTTATACTCAAGCATTTTTTCCTGGATGTATTTTCAAGCATACTTTCTACCAACAATACATCAAGCGTCTCACCTTTCTATGTGTAAATACACATACACACACATTCCAATAAGCCTTGTAGAAATATTAAGTGTCACTGCTATGTATTTTCTTTCTTTTTTTTTCTTTTGGTCACACTGCACGGCTTGTGGGATCTTAGTTCCCCAACCAGGGATCGAACCTGGGGTCCCAGCAGCAAAAGCACAGAAGCGCAGGGTCCTAACTACTGGACTGCCAGGGAATTCCACTGCTATGTATTTTAATTATTAATTATTTATTGATAGTTTCCCCCATTAGAATATAAGTTCCAAAGGAAAGAGATATGGTCTGGGCATGTGTTTTTTTTCCCCACTCCTCTATTCCCAACATCTAAAATTGTGCCTGGAATGTTGTAAGTACTCAACAAATATTTGTTGAATGGATGAATGAGTAGTTCCCCTTGTTATTCTTCTGTCCTCTTATTTGACCTCTCTGCACAATATTCCAGTGATTCTACTTTGTTTTCTGTTGCTTCATCTATCAGGCCATTCCTTCTCAGCTTCCTTTGAAGGCATGTTTTCCTCTACCTACTACTTGAATACGGTTATTTTCTAGGGTTCCATACTGAATCTTTGTCCTTCTAAAATTTACTATTCTAAACACTCTCTACATGAAATTTAGTTCATATTTACTTATTTAATTACTATTTATTATTGATGTCTCCCAAATGTTTAGTTCTAACCCAGACCTCTCTCCTGTGCTTCAGACCTACATTTCCTTACAGCCTACGAGGCATCTCCACACAAATGTTACACAGATTCCTCAAATTTTTAAATGTCCCAAACTGAATCCCTCCTATCCCTCACAAAACTTGCTACTCTTTCTGGGTTCCCTATCTCAATGAATGGTACTACCATTCACTCTTCCACATCAGAACTTGGGAGTCACAATGGACGCCTTCCTTTCCCTCCCTTTTCATACCCAAATTGTCATCAAATCCAACTGATCATATCATTTCCTTGCTTAAAATCCTTTGATGGTTCTTTACTGCTTTCAGGTTATATTTTGAACTCATTGGAATGAGCCCCTATTCCTGCCCCATCTAGTTCCTGCAGTATGGAAGGTTTTTTTTTTGTTTGTTTCCTGCACTCTCTCACATTCTTATTTCTCTGTATGGAATATGATTAACCTCCCTGCCCCAAAGATGACAAATATCTTACTGGTTCTCCAAGGCTCATCATTCAAGCATTTCTTTCTCCAGAAGTGGAATGAGTTCTTCCTCTTCTGTGGTCCTACAGAACCCTGTATAGAACTTTTTAGAACACTTTGCACATTGTATAGTCTATCTCCCTTCTTAGATTATGAGCTGCTTCAGAGGAAGGACTATTTTCCAATTCTGTACCAATTGTGACTAGTCCAGGGCCTTGCACAAAGCAATTGGCTGAATAAATTATTGAAACTATTAAATCATCTTCTTCCTTCATGTCACTTGTTAAAATTTTAGGCAATTACCTTGGCAAAATGCAATTCCTCTTTCTTTCCCTTCATTCCACTTGGAGGTCAAAAAGTTGTCCTTAAGAGTAAAATTGTAGTAACCCAATTGTAACGATCCATTCAGCTATAAGGATTCATCTCTAATAAAGAAAAGAAAAGTCAACAGTCAGGAGTGAAATTAGTCCTAATAAACAACCATTTTCTTCAACTTTTTAATCACTTCAAAGTGTTTTGGTGTCCCACATATTCCTTTATCCACATCTTTAAACATACGTTTTACTAAAAAGATAGTTTCTTAAAGAAATATACAGTTATTTCTTATTATTCAAGTTGTATATCTGTTCTAAACTGCTATATTACACCAATGATCGTGGCCACTGTTCTTCATAGCATGGCTTCATTATAGGTTAAACAGGTTTCTTCTGGCTGGCTTCAATCACATTTCTATGCCTACTGTGACACCATTTCAAAGTAAAAAATATGATTCCCAATTAAAAACAAAGTATACATTTTCCAGAAACTTTAGAGTGATTCTAATGCACATGGTTCACACAGAACACACTCTGACAACTTTAAAGGTCCAGTCAAAATTCTAAGCTTATCAGAGCATAAATAACACTTTTTAAAAGCCACTGAATCAAAACTCAATGAGAATTTCAAATCACGATATAAAGTGTTTGCCGCTCAGGGCTTCCCTGGTGGCGCAGTGGTTGAGAGTCCACCTGCCGATGCAGGGGACACAGGTTCGTGCCCCGGTCCGGGAAGATCCCACATGCCGCGGAGCGGCTGGGCCCGTGAGCCATGGCCGCTGAGCCTGCGCGTCCGGAGCCTGCGCGTCCGGAGCCTGCGCTCCGCAACGGGAGAGGCCACAACAGTGAGAGGCCCGCGTACCGCAAAAAAATAAATAAATAAATAAAAATAAAGTGTTTGCCCCCCAAATGCAAGTAGCTTAACCAACAGTAAAATCAATCTAGAACCTTCATCTGTCCCCACAAGCACAACCCCATACCCCAAGAAGGGAGATTCTCTAAGACAGCACACTCCAAACTACAACATCCAGAATACCCTCCTCGAGCCGAAACTGGGGACAATAGGAAATGCGGGAGGGGGCTGGTGGGGAAGGAATTGTGGGTATATAAAAAGAAGTGTCTTGACTCCATCTCCCCCAATCCCCTGTCTTCACTTGAGTCTCTCCGCCAATGTCAATATTGGATTCCACCCTCCTCCCTCCCCCCACCAGGAAGAACAACCTCCAGAGACTTCAAACTACATTTCCCATGAGGCTAAGGGCTCGGGCCTCCGGCTTCCTTGGTGACCAGTAGCCAATAGGAGACGCAGCTGCGGCCGTGGGGGTGGGTGAGAGTCTAGCCTGGGCCTGGGCGCCGGGCCTAAGCCGGCAGCGCCAGGAGGGGAGTTCAGAAGACTGTCGCCCGGCATGGGGCGCCGCGAGGGTATCGCCCACTCGGAAGCTGCCGCCCCGGCCCGATTTTCCGCGGTTCTATAAGGAGTTGAGCTTCGGTAGCCGGGGAGCTGGAGGTCAGAGAGACAGAAAGCCTGAGCGGCTGAGGCTGGGGACTGTGGGACTGAGGGGGCCTAGGGAGGAGGGTGCTTCCAGAGCCGCGGGCCTCAGCCCTGACTCCTCCCAGCTCCGCCTCCGCGGGGGGGGGGGTGTTGGGCCCGCGAGTCGGGGTGGGCTTCTGAGCTCACCGCGCCCGTTTCCCTGGAGACTCGGGAGCGTGCCCTTTTTTCTCTTTTCCCTCAAATCTGCCCGCTGTCTTTTTCCTCCACAACGGCATCCCGTATCCGCCACCCCGGCCTTGTGCCTCCTCAGACATCTGAAGTTAGGGTTCTCCACCAGGGTCTTCCCTGGGCGGCGTCTGGACTCTCCTTACTGCTTGCAGGAGTTGGGCGATCTCTTTTTCTTCTCTTCTTTCAATTTGCACTTCAGGTTTGGGCACACACCCCTCCCAATGCACACACACCCCTTTTCCTCTGGGGCCTTGGGAATTCCTTGCCACGCCCCGGGCGTGACTTTTTGTCAACTTTTCACTTTCCGCCCCTTTGATGGTGAGATCCGGATCGTCGCCATCTCTTTATTGGCCCCTCCAGCCGCTTGCCCCTTCCCTGACCAGGTCTTTGGAGCGAAAAGGGTTTCCCCTCAATTTCCAGAAGAGGTGGGGAGCAGAAGAGGAAAGGAATCTCGTTTTTGAGAAATACGTGTTTAAGGTTCACTGCAGTGTTCTGATGAAAATAAAAGGCAAGTTAGACCTATTGTAAAAACCGAGCGCTCTAGGGCTTTCCAGCAAGATTGATGTTGACACATATTTAAGGGGCACACCAACTACGGAATAAAGTAGACTGCGCAAAACGAGACTGTATTATTTTATTATTACAAACGCGTGCGAAAAGTGCTTAGGAGTTAGTGGAAGGGGATACCGATGAGGTTGGGGGGGTTGATCTATGGAAAGTCAAGCCTAACCCTGGAAGTGCTGAAGGCTTGAAACTCTCACCTACCTTCCAGATCAACCCTGGTCGGCTTTGGGAAGGAGATGAATTTTAATTTGGGTTTCGAAAGAGTAAAGTGGACTTGAAATGGGCAAAGAGGAGGGAGAAACTGCTTCTTCATACTGGGGTTGGAATTGGAGAAGGGTAGATAGAAGAGGGAGCACTTGTATAACAGGTGGGCTTCCCTGACTGGAGTAAAACGTGTCAGCAGGGATAGATTGGGGAAGAAATAGTGTTGAAAAGCTTGGGATCATAGTAATAGGACACTTTAAAGCATCCACATAGTTTGGATTTTATTCTGTATCATAAAATTAAGAACAAAAAATTAAGATTGGGTGATTTTTGTTTTTTCATCCTAGGGGAACCTGATTTGAGATCAATTCTTGGAGAACACAAAGAAGTGTGGTGGTATGTTCCAGGTGTGAGTTTAATTTAAACCCAAGAAGAGCTTTGTCTTATAGACTGTTTTGTTTTTGGCTATTCTTAGCTACACTCTATAGTTGTTACTTTTAAAGCCTAGTGATATAAATTGATTTTCTTAAGAAATGCATTTGCTGTCCTTGTGCATCCTATTACCTGAATTGTGGTCATTTCATTGGGCAACAATAATGATTGCTATTTATTGAGCCCATAAATGTTTTGGCGCTATCATAAGCACTTTGTCACATTATCTTAAGAGTCTTATGAAGCAGGTACTAGTCTTCCCGTTTTTCTAGAAGAGGGAACTAAAACGTCAAGAAGTTAAACAACCTACCTAAAGTCACATAGATTGTAAGGAGAGTTGAGGTGGGATTTGGGTGTACAGATTTCTGACTCCAGAGCCCATGCTCTGTCCACCGTGGTTTGCTGGTCCTGCTGTTCACTTTTGTTCTTAACTTCCCATTTGTGGTAAGGAGAGATTATTGTGAGATATATTTGACCATCTTGGCAAAAACACAAATGATTCGCTTTTAGTTTCTATGTCAGTATGTGTCTGCTGTAAAGTAGCTGCCAAAAGCAAATTAGCTTCACTGTTACTGCAGCCGTAGCAAATTGTGTCTGCCAAAACTGTAGTCAGTATTACTATCTTTGAATTAGATGATTCTCTTTATAAAAACATGTCATGCCTCTAAGCTATTTGGACCTTGACAGTACTTTAGGTTTTATTTTATCTTAGACTTTAAGTGACCTTCTGGGGCACTTGGTCTCCTTCATGACCTTTGCCCCACGTGAAGTGTTGGGGATGCAACAGAGCACGAGGTGTGAGCTTTCTCTAGGTCTAGTTGGGGAGATAGATGCCCATCAGGCTGAGATAATGTAGTATGTAGTATAACAGAGACAGGTTCAAAGTGCTATGGGAGGATGAAGGAAGGAGTGACTAAATGTAAGGGAGAGTCAGGAAGAAAGCTTCTGTAAGGAGGTGACATGACAGATAGGTCTTGAAGGATAATGAGTTTGCCAGGCAGAGAAGAGTGGAGGGGAGGCATTTAAGATAGAGGGAGCAGACTGTGAAAGACATAGGATTTTTACAAGAGCAAGGCGTGTCCATTCAATGTTGAGGAATTCAGCATGGTTGGGGTGCAGATTGTTTGGGGAAATGAAGGCATAATTGTAGAAGAGGTTAGGGCTGATTTGTGAAGAACTTTGAACACAATGATAAGAAGTTTGGATGTGCTCACATAGGCCAGTGTTTCTCAAAATGTATAGGGCATCTACCATAGTAGTTATGCTTTATTCCCACAAACATTTAAAATTTTATAAATTATATATTCTAATGTAGCTTATAAAAATAAAACTGAATTACATCATCAAATCTAAGGTTACTTAGGAAAAGGTTTACTGAACATACAAAGTAACCAGTTTTAAGTTGATTTAAATAGGAATATTAAGTAAATAATAGTACACATGGTGTGTGAATATGGGAAAATCAGCAAGTAATACTCAAATGACTGAAATTTGGAAAATACTGGTTGTTGGCAACAAAAAAAACATTAAAATGTTTTAGATGAGGAGTGCCATGATCAGATTTTCACTTTAGGATGCATTGGAAGGGGATGATACCAGTTAGGAGGCTGGTACTCTGCTCCAGAGAGAGTTGGTGAGGACCTGAGGGAGCAACATATGAGAGGAGGGAACAGAGTCGAGAGACATTTAGGGGGTAGAATTTGTAGGACTTGGTAGACTTTTTTTTTTAACATCTTTATTGGAGTATAATTGCTTTACAATGGTGTGTTAGTTTCTGCTTTATAACAAAGTGAATCAGCTATATGTATACATATATCCCCGTATCTCCTCCCTCTTGCGTCTCCCTCCCACCTTCCCTATCCCACCCCTTTAGGTGGACACAAAGTACCGAGCTGATCTCCCTGTGCTATGGGGCTGCTTCCCACTAGCTGTCTATTTTACATTTGGTAGTGTATATATGTCCATGCCACTCTCTCACTTCGTCCCAGCTTACCCTTCCCCCTCCCCGTGTCCTCAAGTCCATTCTCTATGTCTGTGTCTTTGGACTTGGTAGACTTGAATATTATTATTATTTTATTAGTGTCATCTGAACTATTTTAAAAGCCTATATGCCACATGCCTGTTATCCTTTATATGCTAAAATGAGCATATTATTGCCTAAATCAGGCTATGTACATATATCCATTAAGGTAACAGTGGAGGCTGTTGTCACGAATGGGTTTAGATTACACACGAGCATCCTCACTGCCTTACTGAGTGTCCTTGAGAGCAGTGGCACAAATATTCAAGGAGTATGAGTATGATCTGTGATCCTTAGCCATCTGAGAAACTCCTTCAAGACTCAGCTCAAATATCAACCCCTCTGTGAAGCCTTTGCTACACCTCCCCCTCCTTCTACCACACACACACATGCATATGCACACAGGAAGCAATAGTAGGCTCCTGGCTCCCACAGGACCCTGTACTTACCTCTCTTCTAGCCTGTACCACAGGCTAGACCTACCACAGGCTAGACCGACCACAGTGTGTTGGTCTGTGGATGTGTCTGCCTCTCCCCTAGACTGTGAGCTCCTTGAGAGCAGGGACCAGGTCTCATCTCCATACCCAAAGCATCCAGAATAGTACTTGGTACATGGTAGACACCTAATAAATGGTGACTGGATGAAAAGAATGGATCAACATATTCACATGAATGTAACTCTGGACCTTGGTACCACAGAGTGCCAAACACTAAAAAAAGATTAGCTGTTTGCTACATTTGCTACTTTTGCAGAATAAAGCAGTAAATTAAAGTGACCTGAGTGTATAACTTCACTAGAATTTTCTTTCTTTTTTTTTTTTTCATTTTCTCCCACTCTCCTGTGGTTGCCTTTCTTTTTTTTTCCTCATCATTTATCCACCCAGCCTCCTGTTCCTTAGGCCTGCCCATTGCTTTGCTCCTCTTGACAGAGTTCACATTGCTTCTGCCCCTATATTCTGCCAAGGATCCATTGCTCCTCTCCACCCACCAAATCCAGTTGACACCATCCTTGAAATCACTCTGAAATGGGTCTCTTCCTATTTATAGACACTGCTAGTGGGACTGTAATTTGATACAACCCTTCTGGAAAGAATTTGTCAATATGTATCAAAAATCTTAAAATCGAACATAGCTTTCAACCTTCCACTTCAACTTCTAGGGCTCTATGCTGAGAAAATAAATGTGAAGTTTCTAAAAATTTAGCTCTCAGGATGTCTAGCCCAGAATCTGTTTATAATAGCAAAAGAAAAAAGGAAAGAAAAAGGAAAAAATAACATTTTATTGATAAATGTCTAATACTAGAGGTTTGAATTAAATCATTTATGGTACATGTATGGATTACTAAGTAACCATATAAATTGATATTACCAAAGAATATTTAATGATGTGGAAAGTTGTTTGTGATATATTAAGAGAAAATTCAGGTTATAAAGTTGACAGATCTCAGTCTGCATACACACATACACAGATATCACACATGCACAGCCCCCCTCATCTGTGTGCACATACATAGGAAAAGTCCCATAATGGTAAACACACAAAAAAATGTTAACAGAATTTTCCTATAAATAGAAGGATTACATACGAGTTCTCTTTTTATTTAGCCTTTTCCATATTTTTTGCTAATCCTCTATAATGACATTTTTGTACATTTTTAAAAAGTTATTTAAAAATGCTTTCCCCATGTCCACCCCTATTGCCATCGCCTTAGTTTGGGGCACACTGCCCCCTTCTACCCCGCAACACACATATGACTTGTACCCGGGATTACTACTGCCTCCAGCCTGCCTCCCTTCCAATCCTTTCTCCACCAATGCTGACAGAATGAATGATGTTTCTAAATCACAAGTCTAAAGCTATCCAGCTCTACATAAAATAGTTCAAAGGCAGCCTATTGTCCTCAAGATAAAATCCAAATTTCTTAGGCTGCTTTATAAAACCTTTGAAAATCAGCTCTCTGCTTTTCTTTCCATTGTCACTTTTTCCTCCCACAATTTACTTTTTTCTTGGAGTCTTAGGCCAGTGCCTGGCACATAATAGGTGTTTAGCTAATGCTAACCAAATATCGGTGTGGATTGTATGGGTTAACTGTTGTGTGCCAGGCAATCCACCAGGGTTTCATTTCATCCTCAGAGTAAAAATGTTAAATACATACAATAGTTATCCCTATTTTACAGATGAGGAAAATTAATTAAATAAAAATGGGAAGAAAAGTAATCATAATAAAGAACATTTTTTTAAAGAAAAAATCAAACTCCCCTGCTATAATACAGCTTTCATTTTCCTGAGGCCCCCTGCCAGTCTTTGTCAGTGTGCATACAGACTTTGTTCATTCCCTTGGGCAAGTTATATGTGACCACAGCATAACAAAAACAGTCCAGACCGACATGACCTCACCACGTCACAGTTCACATTGTGTTAATATACAGACATCTTTCCTTTGTGTATATAACACTTCATGCAGGAGAGACAGAAAAGCGCCAATTTCTCTGTTTTTCTTTCTGTTTTGAAATTCTGTGTCTTTGGGGATGGGGATGTCAGCAGAGACCTACGGAAAACTGTGATAGAATTGAATGTACAAGAAACAATGTGTCTCATGGGAGCCAGTGTCATTGGTTAATTTATTCTTTTAAATGTCACGTAGATGTATTTTCCAGCAATCTGTCCCCAGGGAAGACCTTGGTTGAATTCAACTGTTAATCCTATTTACAGAATGCAGCCTATGCATGCACTGTATTCTTGCATTGTTAAGTGATCTTAGACATATGTAGTGGATTACCATGATGACGTACAATCAGGTGAATATGAGATATCTGATTTTCTCTACAAAAACGTATCGATGTTCATATTGTCATTCAGGATCCTGCTGTGTGGTCTTTCCTTCATTTTCCTTACAGATAATACCCATTGTGCAAAAATGGATGCTCTTCAAAGGATAGAAGTCCTAAGCATGAA